GAGAGGGCCACGGAGGGAATGGCTAGTGCAGAGACCAGACGGAACTGAAGTGAGGTGGACTGTGGGAAGGTGTGGCTGGACGCTGGTGTCTGCTGAGAAAGAGAGGGATGAGGAGAGGATAGGGTGAAAGGGGTGGGCAGAGAGTGCCAAAAGGAAGGAGGTCAGTGCCCTGCTTCCCTAGCCTGGAGCACCTTTACTCTTTCCTCTCTCACTTCTTATGTGTTCTAGAAAAACATCACTCGTGTGTGTCTAAAGTCGCTGATTGCTTTTTCCAACTGATCTTGTCTGCTGAATCATCCATAGTCCTGCTTCCTGTGGTCCAGGGGGCAATTGGATTTGTGTATTTCTACAAGCTTTTCTTGAGTACTTGGGAAATGATGAATTTTTTTCCCCCATCAAGTTTTGAGACACAAGACAGTGACAGGTAGAAATTGGGGGAGGGAGGTGGATATAAACAAATCTTAAGGCACCGGTGCAGACAGCTATGCATAGGACGGTGGTTTTGTGCTCCTGCATGAATTACTTCAGGCCAGTTTGCAGAAGTGCTGTGCACCCACCTCCAGCGGCTCAACACTCCCTAGAGTTCCACTTAGAGGCATGGGGTAGGAAGACAAAGAAGAGATAGCCAAGCAACCCCTCTTCCACCCAAGCAGAGCCTTCAGAGGATGGCATGGATTAACAAAAGGGGAGCGGGCAGGGAGAGACATTCCCCATGTAACAATCTCCGCCAATGCAGAGGACCCTGCAGAGAGTTTCTAGTCCTAGCTCATTTGTCTCCAAGAATTCCATTTGTAGAAGCTATCTACCACCAGCTGGGTGGTTAACCCACCATTCTATTCCCAAAGTTGCCAGAACAGCCCCTCAACACTTCTGATTGTGTTTATAGCTAATAACCCGGAGACCTGATCTGTTCTCCTAGCAGTCTTCTCTTTGGGGTCTATTAGAGTCCTATCTGGGCTTTCTTTAATGCTGTATTATCTAGTGGCTCTAGGTGGAATGGGTCACCATATGCCTGCCAGTTAGATGCGAAGATGCACAAAAGGGGTGTGCATGTGTTCCTGAGCAAAGTGACTGTAAATAACCAGATGGAGTGGACTTTCAGGTCCCAGATTTTCAGATCTCCAAACTGTGTCTCAAGGTTAGAGGGGGACCAGGGCTCCAGCCCATGCTCTAAAACAATTTTTAGCATTAAACATTTAGCATTAAAATGTTTTTAAATGCTTATACAATGCATTCAGAGTGAGTCTTCCTAGAAGCAAGCCTGTGGATATTTACAAGTGTGGTGGAAGCTTTCAGTGGCTTTCAGCTGGTTGAGTATATTAGAATCTTCAAGGAGGTTTACACACACACACACACACACACACACACACACACACACACACACACTCACACACTGTAGGTAACTACAGGACACCCAAATCTTAAGTAACAAAGCTTGTAATGGTACACACCTGTAATCCCAGGAACTCAGAGAGCTGAGGCATGAGAAGCATAAGTTTGAAGTCAGCCCGGTCAAGGCTAGCATGGGCTACATAATAATACCCTGCCTCAGAAAAAGCAAAAGGAACAATTATTATACTATACAACACCTAGCTTATTCTCACACAAAATATGACCACTCCCTGAATAAGTCAATGAGAAGCAAGGACCAGATTCCCTGTGAGTTTTTGTTCAGTGTGTCAGATGATGCTGTCTCCTCTCATATCGAATGCCATTCCACCACAGGTGGGGCAGAAGTCACAGGAAGGTGGAGGGTAGAACCAGGTATGTTTCCATCTCTCTGATACAGGGACTGTACCTTCTCTGTGGTTCTTGGAGATCAGATCCACCATAGACCTAGATTGTATCCTGTGGCTATTTTCTCTCCAGCCACTGCCCCATTGTCCCAGTTTGACATCTCACTTCTTCCTTTATTAACCATTTCCCCAAACTAAGTTTGTCCTACTTGAAATATCTAGAACACTTTCTGTTTTTCTCATGTGAGTAAGACTAAACTGTCAGTTGTTAGAATGTTGATACTATTTTTTCAAGAGAGTGTTCAGTCATCTTTTAGGAATCTATTCCTAGCAAGCTCCTAGGAAAATAGCTTGCACATGTGAGCAAACAATCATTTTGATTTAGTTTGACTAGTAAGGATAATGGAGAAATAAAAGAATCAAAGAACTTCTGACCAACCTAAGAAATTATCTAGGTTTGCTTTTAGAGAGCCTGCCTGCAATTAGAGAGCTAAGCACTGAGGGGTCTTGGAAAGTTCCTCTTCATGCTATCATAATCAAAAGTAAGTTTGATTTTAACAAAATGTGTTAAATTAAGAAATCTATGGTAAAGGAAGCAAAAGAGTGAATCAGCTTCATACCCGTATCTCTTTGTTGAAATACTTGTGGTTCCAATGTTGGTCAGAGACCTCAGTGTAAGGCTGGAAATTGACAGAGCAGAACCTCAGTGAAAGGTCTTCAAGATACAGACACAGGCAGAGATTCAGTGAAAAGAACCCTATAGCTCAGCCCAGAGAAGGAACAAAGGGCATAGCACGGACTTCAAAAGCCACCACCCAGCAAATGAAACAGCTACCAGAGTGAAGAAATAGATTACAAAATGGGGAGAATATTTGCAACTGTACATCAACAGGCGGTTAATATCTAGGATATGAAGAGAACTCTAAGAATTAAACTGTTCTCTCTCTCACTCACACACACCATTTTCATCATCTTCATCATCATCCAATCAATAAATGGGCCAATGAACTGAACAGACAACTTGAAAGAAGCATAAATAGCCAATAGATAATTGAAGAAGTATTTAATATTCTTAATCATCACAGAAATACAAACAAAAAATGTCTTTGGACTCCATCTCACCTAGAATGGCTATCATCAAGAAAACTTGACAACCAAGGCCTCTGAGGCTGTGGGGAAGGAGGAAGCCTATGCCTCTGTGTTTGCTGCTGCACTGTTCACAATAGCCAGAATGGAACCAGACTAGACACCCAAGAACAGATAAATGGATTTTAAAAATGGGCTACATATACACAATAGGGTCTTATTCATCTAGAAGGAAAAGTGAAATAATGAAATTCAGAAAAATGGATACAACTGGAAATTATTATGTTAAATATAAGAAGCTAAGCTCAGAAAGAAAATTAGTATTTGTTTTCTCTTACGTGCAGTGCCTAGATTTAAAATTGTGTGTACCTGTAAATCTGTGGTTGCACTTACACTGTTTTATCTCATTATTTTAATAGCTTCTGAATTTATTTATTTAATCTTTCCGACATCAGGCTCTGAGCTCCTGAGGATCATCTCATTATTTTTGAAAGCACCAGTTAGTTACAATGTCCCATACTTAATGATGATAGATCCTCGAATTGATTTCTATTTCCAAACACTGTAACCTTGAATAACAGCTAGGGTGATGGAAGTAATCCATGTGTGTGTGCAGCAGTTTAGAGAAATGGCTGTCTTGCTCGACAGGACATTAGCAAAAGCACTGCAACGAGAGGTTTAAAGAGTGCATGCTTGTGTTTGCTTGCTCCAACACCTCTACTCTTACCTGTCCTGATCTTGTAGAGGATGAGGGACACAGAGTGGCATCACTTAAGGCTGAGCTAGCCAAGATCTGCTGAATGCTGACTCAGACAGGTGAATGGGTTCAGGCCAGGTCAACACAGCCAACCCCACATGTGAGTAATAACCATGTATCTTTGTCAGCCATTGATGGTGAGTAGATTGTTATACAGTGCTATCATGGCAATGTGTATTATGGCTTTCATGGCAATGGATCACTGGTACACTTCTTTCTTTTCCCACAGTATGTTCTAATGCACAACGTGACTCATTTTCTGATGTTTGCTGACAACTTTCAACTCTATAACTTCCCTTTCATTTAGCTCCGTGTCTAGGCAAATACATAAAAAGTGACCCACCCTTCAGTGATGGAGATTCCAGGTGTGCACAGTGAAGGCCCAGGCAGAGGAACCCATCCTAAAGATCATTCCCCTCGTCATCAAATAAACCCATAGCTGTTCTCCATTTCCTATCCCCTTGAGTCACTTCTAGACCAGCAAGGGACCCATGTTACTCTTCCTGAAAGCCTCATCAGGCAAGCAATAAACATTTCCATTGTATCCTGCACAGCTTAGTCCTGAAAACATGACTGGGGGCAACAGGGTGGGGGATAGGGACTGGGATTGTGTGGGCCATGCCCAATCTGATGGAGGGCACCTACTGTGTAACAATTGGGAACTTTAGCACAGGAGGAGGGGTTATGTAATCTCAATAGGAGGTCTCTGTAGGAGCATAGTCTCAGACTGCAAACATCCTGGAGGTGGAAGCAGTGGTTGATAGTTTCTGTACACTCTGTCAACATGGACCAGAGGAAGGCTTTGCCAGTTCTCATGAGTCTGAGGCATTGGGGTCCTTGTCAATAGTGTGCATTTACTCAGGACTTCCTCTGCTCCTCATACATCTCAACCAAAGCTGTGTAGAATCAGCATTGACCTTGACATGGACATGGGGACGAGAGCCAACTCCTGTGGGACAGCTATACTACTTCAGAAGTGGGAAAAATGACTATTATCACTATTTCACACAGCTTAGTAGATGTTTTACACACATTTTCTCATGGATATATGTATAAAGTTATGATTGCTTATGCAAATTTCTACTTGAATTCTTGAACAGATTATAAATGGGAGTTATTAACACAAAAATGGATAAAGCTAATATGGTTTACATTATGCTGTGTGCTGACATTTATAACACAGCACTGTGTGTATGTGAATGCCAAACTCCTGTTTAGTTGAATGCTAATAATAAAGGAAGGGACTTGATGAAGTGACAAGAAAATAGCTTTTTTAGAAAATACTTAGCACAAATAATGGTCCAGTAAATGAAGGAGCGGGCTTTTGATTAGTATGTAATTAAACACAGATTTTTTTCTCCAAAATTTAGAAGATGCTTTGTTATAGCAATTAAGCACTGAAGATTAAGGAAACATGGACAGAAGAGTGTAAAATCACTCATTTTCAATCTCACTGGGGGTCTTTGTGGACTCTGTACAAAAGCTTGTCATTCAGCTTCTTTAATATGCTTTACTAAATTGTGTGTATAATGTCTTAGAAAAATAGCCTAAGATGCCACTGTGAGCACATCTATTCAGTTAATAAATATGCTCATTGAACTTGAAGTTCAGAGAGTTTTGACAACTAGCATTTCTTAAATTAGTTCTCTCCTTCATTAGACCATCATTAACACGTCCAGGTGGTGAGCTCTGCAGTACCTAATGATAACGATAAATAGTACCAGGGAAGCCCCAGGATCAGTGCCAGGTTTCTGAATGTTTTTGTTAAGAAATGTGGCAAGGAATGTGAGTAGAGAATAAAATGGTAGTTGGCTCAAACTTTTGAGCAGCTTCATGTAGCTCGGGATGGCCTCAGATTTGCTAGGTAGCTAAGGATGCTCTAAACTCCAGATCCTCATGTCTCCACTTCTCAAGTGTTGGGATTACAGGTGTGTGACGCCCCACTCAGCTCCAATATGCATCAATTGAAGAAAAGGATTCCAGAATTTGGGATCATTTGTTTTGATTTGTGTTAATCTAGGGTAGAAGTTGTATTGTATTGTATTACATGAGTTTATGGCTATATTTAGCCTAGCTAAAGGACCTAACATCTGAGAGATTTTAGTAGTTAATTGTCAACAGGAAGAATGCTGCTACAAATGACACCTTTACATTTGAAAGTTACATGCCTTTTGCTATCCAGTAATTGATGAAAGTATTGTGTTCAAAAAATGTTTGCCAATTGAGCATGGAATTCTAGTTTATTTTTATTAATGCTAACTTAATTACCCAGCAAATAATTACTATGCATTTATCCAACAATTCACTCAACTTCTGTTGACATTCTTCAAGAATGTGCCAAACACTGTTAGGCAACAGACAATGATGAATGGAACACAATTTCCATTCTGTAGCTCATGGCCTATTTAGGTGTTATGATGAGTCCACAGGCTACATGGGAGGTGTGTCATAAGAAACAAGGAGGGGCCCAGGGAGAAGGCAACCTGTAGCTGGGGAGTTGACTTTTTCTTTGAAGAATGCATCCTCCAGGTGAAAAAAGTAGAGGAGACCCTTGTAAGCAAAGGTAATGCTTGTCACATAAAGATCATGGAGGGAGATGTACAGAAAATATCTGGGTTTCTGACCTGGGTGCCATTCACTGAGGCAAAAGGGTGATTTGACTTTGCCATATTGAGTTTAAGGAACTCTTACAATGCTCATGTAGAGGTGTCTACGAAGGTATTTAGTATTATGGGGCTGTGAATAAGGAGGAAGGTTATAGGTTTGGGCATCAATAATTTACAGTCAGCTACCAAAGCTGTAAGTACAGATGAGATCACTTAAGATGCATGTGTAAAACAAGAATAGGATTATGGGGGATGCTAAGGATCCTCAGACATTGTAAGAGCAAGAAAAGAAGCAGCGAGTGTAAGAAAAACAGCAAGAGAAAAATCTGGAAAGTGGTGTCAGGGAGGCACTGTAGAGTAGTCAAACAAGATATGGAGTAAACCTATTTCTGGGTGGGGCTGGAGTAACGCTTGGTGGCAGAGTGAATGCTCAGCATGCTTGAGGAGCTGGGTTCTGTCCCTAGCACCAAACAAACAAATGATAAATGATTAAAATTGAATTAATTTTTCTGTTGGTTTGATGGAGTACTGCGAGGCATGTAGGGGAAGCAAAGACCCGCTGGATGAGAAGAGAATGAAGACTTGCAAGTGGAGACAGCCAGGGCCACTTTCCACCAAGAGGCTTGCCTTTGAGGTGGAAGGAGGCTATAGGCAGTGACTGGTAGACAGTTGATGATGCTGATTTAGATGGAGGGGGACTTCTAGAGAGGGGATCGCTCACACGTGATGCCTCTCAGTCAGGGATGCTAAAAGTATAATCAGCAGCATGTGATGGCCTACAAAATTTGGTATTTTATGTTTTCTTCTAATTTAAAAAATGTCATGGTCCCTGCCATCCCTTTAGCAATATAAAAGGTTATCTGTAATACACTACAGCAATGCCCACCTGGGGGTTCATTATCTCCCTTATTGTGATGTCCGGAGGAAGACTCAGAAACACTCCAGTCATTCCACAATGCAATGGGTCAGGATCAGCTACTGAGCTTTCCTCAAGGCTGCAAGATAGAGGCTACAATTCCAACCTCACAACTCTCTCTCTCTCTCTCTCTCTCTCTCCTCTCTCTTGTCTCTCCTCTTCTCCTCTCCTTTCCCAGAACTATTCCAATAGACTCCAAAGGCCTTATTTTCTAGCAGTGATTCATAGTCACATTCATGACTTTTCTTCCACAAAAGGAGAAAGTGACACTCCCGTGTTTATATTCTCTATTATATGAGGTGGAGCCCACTGGGAAGGGAGAAGGGAACAGACTGTGTTAACATGTCAGTCAGAGGCTCCCAGCCTCCATAGCCACTGCTGGGTACTTCCAGGTGGATCTTTATTTTCCTGGGAGGTTTATAGGTGTCATAAAACACAGATGTGAGGCTCGAGACAAATAGTGTTCTGGTCAATCAGGTATAAGTGAGAGCATGGAGGAGGAAATAAGACAGGGGAAACTAGAGGTCAGAAGGAAAAAATGGCTTCAATGTCTGCCATTTAATTAAAGAGGATTTAGTGTGGCCCATACGCCAAATGTAGTCATCACTTTTTTTTCTAGGGCCAGGAAGCCACAAATGGGTTTTATAGCTTTAAATGGTTGGAAGAAGAGTAATATTTCTGACATGTGAAAATTATGTGAACTTCAATAAAAGTTTGATTGGACCCAGTCATGTGACACTATACATAGCTGTTTGTGTGACATGGTGACAAAGAGGAGCAGTCGTAAGAGAATGTGTAGGCCTGCAAGAGCCCAGCACAGTTCCTCTACTGGAGCAGTTGCCTGCCACGGCAAATCCTTGTTTATCAATGCTAGACTGGACTCCTCTCTCTCTCTCTCTCTCTCTCTCTCTCTCTCTCTCTCTCTCTCCTATCTCTCTAATCCTATTTTGAAATTCTTAATAGAAATTAAGCATCTCACTATGTAGCCCAGGCTTCTGGGTGTGGGGATTACAGTTGAGAGCCCCCAGGCTAGACTAGTGATATTTTTTGAATAATTAAACCCAGCATCTTTCTTTCGTACTGATGATGGCTCATCCTGAATCCTGGACCCAGAACTGGTCCCCTCCTCACTGACTGTTTCACTGTCACGTGAATTCCCTGCCTGTGGAGTCCTTGCAGGCTAGACTGGATTTCTAAGCAGAGTATGTACGAAGGGAGGGGAACTTTTTAAAAGCTAGTGGACCCTGTTGTCAATGTTCCACTGTCCTGTCACATGTTCTCCTCAGGCCAAGTGCATGGGGCTTAGGTCACCATCTTGCTTCCTGGTTCCACAATTGAATCATTAAATCTGCAGTTCTTCACTTTTCTCTAAGTACAATAGTAAATGTTAAAATGGACCCACTTCCCAGACCAGGCTGGTGAAACCCACAGAAACAACTGACCTGAACATCGGAGAACTCTTGTTCCCCAGACTGATAGCTGGGATACCAGCATGGGATGGATCCAGACCCCAGGAACATGGATTTCATTGAGGAAACCTCGGAAATCTACAGGACCTCCTGTAGTAGTTCAGTACTTATCCCTAGCATAGGTGTGGAATTTGGGAACCCATTCCACATAGAGGAAGACTCTCTGAGCCAAGACACACAGGGGTGGGCCTAGGCCCTATCCCAAAGGATATGATAGACTCTGATGACACCGTATGGAAGGCCTCACCATCCAGGGCAAGCAGAAAGGATATGTGATAGGTAGGACTTTAATTGGGGGGAGTGGTAGGGGAGGAAGGGAGGGAGAAGGGAACTGGGATTGTCATGTAAAACAATCTTGTTTCTAATTCAAATAAAAAATCTGAAAAAAATAAAAAAAGATAAAAAAAGAAAATGGACCTGCTTCCTGTCAATGGAGAAGTGTGAGGAATGGCCACGCATTTGAGAAATGTATTTGATGCCAGTGTGATTTCTTTGTTGGATCTCGGGAAATGTGAACTGCAAAGAGACATCATTGTTTCCCTTGAAGATTACAATTCATTGAGACAAGTGTTGGGGGATATTCGATCACATTATGAACCCTGAGTTTGCATTTGAGTTAGTTAAATAAAATTAGCTTTGAATCAGGATGTTGAGTTAGCAACTAGTTGATGGAAAGTAATGATAGAGCATCAGAGGGCATCTGGAAGAGATAGAGAGATGCACCAAAAGTAGCGGGGAGGGATTTTGTTGTTGTTGTTGTTTGATGGAGCAGAAGGACACTGTCTTTTGGGAATAACAGCAAGAAAAGAAGGTTAACTAGGTGCTGCTCAACATTTCTGAGCTAGCAGGTTTTCACTCCAGCCTTTGAATCTGAAGTTTTATTTATAAATAGAATGATAAAGTTTTAACCTTAGTGGCAGTGGTCAAGATACTGCCTGCAGGGACAGAATTCCAACCAGGTTGTGGCCTGAATGTCCAGGCTGCTGCCAGAGAAGCAGGCCGACAAC